TTTTAGCCTTTTTTTTTTTTTTTTTTGCCCCCTTCGCAAATGTGCGCCGGGAAAATGTGGAGCGAATATTTCTAGCCGAGGAAAGAGCGATACGGTTCCCCGGTTTCGCGGCGGAAAGGGGCAAACAATCCCCGCTCCTCCCGCGCAGATTACAGTAATCAGGTTGCAATTAGGGGGTTGCTATTAGGAGGTTGCTATTAGGAGGCTGCAATTAATAGGCGAAGTTAACAACGTGGCAGTTAACAGGCGGCATATTCTGGAGGCCTCCCCGTTGGTAGCTCCTTACTACGCAGGAGGAACGATCCACATGCCCCCCTCAAACACCCGCTCCTCCTGTCGCAGAGGTCAGGGCCTACACGGAAAAAGGAAAAATTAAAGTAACAAAAAATCAAGCAAGCGCAAAAAGTAGGGGCTATATATGTCGCTGTAGAAGCTGCATCCCGCACGCCAAGTGAACCAGTTGAGCCAAATTATGAAATGGGCGCTCCCCCCCCTGCTGGTTGGCCTGATAAGTGTACCCCACGCAGAAGCGTTAAAGGGAAGCCCTGCGTCCTTCTCCAATCCGCGTGGCGACTTTCGCCCAATTGATCGCCACCCCCCATCGTCGTCACCATTTCGCCGAAAGGAAGGAGCAAACATATGGACTAGTAGTGCAAACCTAAGGAGGAAATACAAATATTACCATGCGTACGTAAATAGGGGCAAGGAGTACATGCCTTGGGGGCATACCACTACACGAGCGAAGGTTAAAAAAAGGACATTGGGAGCTTCGGAAAAGAGGAACCCGGAGAAAAGCGCGAAGTGTAACACGCCAGGCGGAAACTCCTCCGTCGAGGAGAACAACCCTGCGAATAATTCCTCCATCGAGGAGCACCTTCCAAATGTGCCGCATTCTGATCGCGAAAATGGTGAAGAAGGAACGGAGGTCTACTTCGTTAGCACCCCGGTGTACTACGCAAATGACAAACCACACATAGGTCATGCATACTGCAACGTTTTGAGTGACATCATATGCCGCTTCGCCAAATGGGAATGCAAAGAGGGAAGAAGCCGTGGAAGGGTTGTTCTCTTTTCCGGAATGGACGAGCACGGATTAAAAATTGAAAGAAAATCTAAGAAACTGAAAATCTCCAGCACGGAGCATGTCAACAATATGATTAGCTATTACACAATGATGAACAAAAAATTACATGTACATGTTAATATATTTTATAGGACAACTAGCCAATTTCACAAAAGCTTTGTGCAACAGGTTTGGAAATATTTAGCCGCGAATGGCTACATATATAAGGGAACTTATAGAGGGTACTACGACGTAAATGAAGAAAAGTATCTCAACGAATTTGAATTAAAACAAAGGAAACAAGACGACCCCAGTGTTCTATACATTGAGGAAGAAAATAGCTACTTTTTTAACATTTTAAAATTTAAAAAATTTTTAACTGATTTTTATCAACGTAGTGAAGGTGAAGAGGTCATTTACCCATCCTACCTACAGAAGGAGATGCTCCATTTTGTCCATCACGAACTGAAAGATGTGTGCATAAGTAGGTACAACACGGAGTGGGGAATCCCAATTCCTGGCGAAGAAAAAGGGACCATCTACGTCTGGTTCGATGCGCTCCTGTCGTATGTATCCTCAGTGCTGTACATGGCGAAGAGGGGGCAGCTACGTATACGAAATGAGGACTCCCCTGTTATTCATTCCCCACGAGGTGGTGACACATCTCACAGGGAAGAAGCGAATGCATCGTCATGTTCTGCTCCCTCGTACGAAGTGGGGAGCCATGAAGTGCAGACCGACGCGCAGCAGACCAACGAACAGCAGACCGACGAATTTCTCTGCTCCTATGAAGATATCTTAAGCATAGCCGGTTTGGAGAATTCCCGCCACAGGGAGAGGGATCCCCACATAAGTAATCAGGTGCCCCCATCTGATATGATCCCCCCTGATGGCACCCTTTCGAGGCTCTTCCAAAAGGCATGGAACCCCCAAGTACAAGTAATAGGAAAGGACATCCTCAAATTCCATGGCGTGCTTTACCTCTGCCTGTTACAAAGTCTTCACTTAAAATTGCCAAAAAAAATAATATGTCACGGATTGTTAAAAAGCGAAAATGTGAAAATGTCCAAAAGTATAGGCAATGTGATAAGCCCATTTGATATTGTAAAAAAATATGACCCAGATATTGTTAGACTATACTTCTTTGGCTGTGCCAATATTTCTGAAGACAAGAATTTTAAGGAAGCGCATCTTGACTCCTTCGAACTATTTGTACGAAACAACGTCGGAAATTTAATCTACCGACTTGTGTCCCTCTGTATGGATAATAATTATAAGCATATTTTCCAAGATGGACAATTCGATTTTTTAGAGTCCCCTATTTTGAGGCAATGTTCAGAAATGAAAGAGAAGTTACTAACCCTAATTCATAATAAGGAGTTCGCGCTGTTTCTGGAACATCTAATGACGCTGATAAAACAGGTGAACAGATTTTTCGTCCATAGGGAGCCATGGAAGTGTACAGATGATTCTGTCCGTTTTAATCGAATAATTTATGAGACCCTGGAGGGCATAAAATTTTTTTCCGTTTTTTTGTATCCCATTATGCCTCAAATTTGTTCTTCCATTTTGCGCAACATGGGCTTGGACGTCTCGCCTGAGGATGGGGCTTCCTTGGACATGTTGGCGGAGCCAACGCGTGAGTTCGCCCTGCGTGATTTGATTAAAATTGTCTGAGGAGTACCATTGAAATGGAGCAATTACCCCCAAATGGAGCGTCACTCGTGTGGCATATCCCTCATAAGTTAACCCGCGGAAATGGGGCCAATGGCGCCACTCCCACACCACCTTCACGCCACTTCCACACCATTTCTACGCCACCTTCACACCGATTTTACACAGCTTCCATGCCATCTTCACGCCGCTTCCTTGCCCCTCATTGGCCTCCGACGCGAGGCCTATTCCTGGAGAGGTACAAGTGCCCGGGGACGCGCGAGTAGTATAGGTAGGGGAACTTTTTCGTGTAGGGCCGTGTAGCCCATCTGTTCTTTCCAGAGCTGTTTTTCCTAAACCACGGGTGCTTCTTCGAGATCCATTTTTTGAATTTCATTTTCCGCCCGTACTTTCGCATGTACTCTTCATATTCCAGTGATGATTCTTTAATGCCATAATTAAAAGTCTTCGTGATGGGTCTATCGTAGGGAGCTTCAATTTCTCGTTCCTCAAAACTCTCGGGTAGTTTCCTCTTTAAAATAATTCTCCGATAAAACCACGTCCTGTCTGTTTTTAGCGAATCGTGAAAAAGTAGTAACTCATCAATAAAGTTAACATCGACGTTGCACGATTGGGCTATATACTTTTTGCTCTCCTCGTGAAATATTTTGTAATCATCCGAGTCCAGCTCGTAGGGTAAAAATGAATTCATAACTTCGTACTGCTTCTTTAACTTCTCCAATTGTGGATTCATTTTTTTTTTATATTTATATGTCAAGCCAAAGAGCTTGAAATAGTCACATAGGTCTTTTAAAAAGGATTGAAATTTTCGATAGGTAAAAATTCCCTCATACTTCATCAGGCATTTTATGTAGTATTCGAAGAACTCCTTTTCCTTCTTCTCGTTCTTATCACTACTTTCGGGACTATCCTTTACGTTTGTTTTTTTTTTAAATATGTCTATAAAGTGTTGGAATATGCCACTTCCTCCGCTTGCTCCTCCAGTGCTTCTGTTTGCCTTTCCCAGTTGGTTTGGCGAGATGCTCCTTCCGTAGTCGGTTAACTTTATTTTTGCATTTTTTAAACTTTCCTGATTGAATGACTGTCCAATTCTGGTTAGCAGGGACGTCCCCCCGTATCTCCTCTGCGCTTTTAGGAAGTGGTAAGTTCGCGCATTGGAGAACAGAGCCCTCTGCATTGTGGAGCGGTTTATCTTAGGGGTGCAGACGGAAAGCCAGGATAATATGATATGTAGATGGGCCAGGTTACAGCTTCTCCTAACTGCGCATGGATGTACACGTAGTTATCTCCAAACCAGCCGCTTACCATTGGGGTGTACCTTACTTTCTTTGTGGCACCCACGGAAAGGGGGGAAGTTCACTAAGGAGTTACCTATAGCGGCTTATCTCTATCTGCTTCTTTGTACCTGTTTTTTTGTCCCCCTTTTGCGTGCCAGGCGAAGGAGACCCAATGTAAGGAATACCTTTAAAAGGTGAAATTCCCCTGTTGACGCCTAGCACATGGGGCACTGTCATATATCTCCCGTGCAATTTTGCAATTTGTTGTCATTTTGAAAATGGGAAAGTTGGCAACAGGTACGTGAGCATAAAATATTGTTCTTCCGCACAGGGAGAGGTCAATAGGATGGGGAGGGATTTGAAAAAAAAATTCAAATGTGTGCAGTTTTGGGGGGGAAACAAGCCGCACTTACACCAAACATACGCCAGCGTAGCAACGACAAAAAAAATAAATAAGTAAATAAATAAGTAGATAAATTACTAAATGAATAAGTAAACACACTGCGGGTTAGAACAACCCGCGAATGGCGGAAAGGAAATGAATAAATCAGGAGCACGTGACACAAACAGGTACATTTGGCACAGAACCGTTTCGCAGCGAAAGGGGCAATTTTTTTATAACTAGCCAAAATTACAGAAAAAAAAAAAAATTAAAAAATTAAGAAAAATATATGAACTGTTCAGGCAAAAATTGTCAGATTCGTGAGAACAAGGGGAAGGACAAAAAAATGAGGAGGGAAGCGGAGGGGACAAACTCATAAAGATATATTGTTCTTTACGTAGTAAAAAAAACAACTGAATATTAGATACTCTGGAATTAATTTAAAAGTATGCAAGGAAAATCCCCTGTATAGATTGGAAATTTTGGCGATAACTTTTTGCGGCTTCTTCACATTCCAATTTTTACTATACATTAATGTTTGGGGGAAATTCTTTTCATATATGACGTGGTACTGGTACTTCCTGCGTATGGTTTCCAGGGGGTACGTGGCCGCTTGTGATATGTATCCTGTGAGTACACCCAGGAAAATGTAGGACAAGACGTTTGGCGCCTTTTTAAACAGTCTTTCATAGTCTTCACTTATGTTTCCATCAGAATATTGTTCTCCCCTCTGTTTGGAATCGCCATCTTTCTGGTCAGAATTGAATTCGATAAAGTACTTGGTAAAAATTTCATTCAGCTTTATTGAGATGAGCAGATAGGGGATAAAGTTTAGTAGGCACAGGCTGTACCCAGCGTACAGGTGTTTAATTTCTGCCGTGTGTGTGGGAAAAAATATTGGGGGAATGAACTGAACGTGCGTGGACGAACGTAGTGGGGGGCAGCGCTGGGGACGCACCAAATGCATAAGCATAAACGTATATGCAGACGCGTATGATTGTCAGTTGCACAGAGGAAGTGTATCATATAAGCAGGTAGAACCGTCTTATGTGGAGAACCTTCCGCATCTACTTCCTTCCCGCGATGCTCTTACTTTTTTTTAGAATCAAATCGTATATGAAAAGGAAAATACCCCTTCTGGTGAGCTTTTTATTCTTAACTGTTTCATGGTTTAGTGCCATGCAATTATGAATGGTGTCCAAGGGGTATGCAATCACAGATGCGAAGGAACTGGAGGTATAAAGGAGGAAGAAGGTTGTTAGGTAATTCTTTTTGCTGTTCTCTATCGCTAGGTTGTACTTGATCTTATCGTGAAAGAATGGTCTGAAAAAGCTGAAGGAAAGGAAGTTCCATATGCTTGCATGGTACCCCCACCAGAGGGACGTGAGACCTTGGTTGGCGTATATACCTTGGGTGAGTGGAAGGGAGCGGCAGGTGCGGTGTAGCGGTGTGGGCGTGCTATATGCACGTATAGAAGCGCAACAGTTGCAGACATGTAAAGAAGCGCGTCCGGTATAGGCACATAACGAAGCGCTACCGCTGCAGGTATATCTTTTTCCAGCCCTACTGCGCGTAGCTCGACCTACCTCTTACTATATTTGAGTACGTAAAGGAGGAGTGGAGCAAGACGTTTCTGAAAAAAAAAGGTTGCGTTTGTCTAATGATTACAATTCGCTCGAAGGGAGAAACAAGAAGCTTAGAAATGAGATTTGATCCTCCATGGATTAAAAAAGTTGCTATGAATAACTCTCCATATTTAAATTTTTTTTTTTTTCTTAAATAATAATTTTCCATATCAAAAGAAAAAAAAAAAAAATTGCAAAGGGCGAATAAGCTACTCTGTTATAAAAAGGGGGTACCAATTATAGCAGAGAAAATTTTTTTTTTTTAAATGGTGAAAAGGAACTGGAAAGGAGCGTGACTCTAATCTTTGTTCGAAAAGAGGAAGTGTAATAGGTATTCCATTTTTTCCCTAGTAATTTTTTTTTTTTTTTTTTTTATCTTTTTCTCCCCGTTTCGGCATGACGTTTGAAGAGAGTTGCCCATTTTGCTATTCAGCCTTGTTGTTGGGATGTTTATAGGTAAGGGGAAAAAGGGGGACCTGTGTATTTAACGCCTTACGAATAGTACTCGCTTCCATCTGTTGAGTGTTGCAATTGTCTGTACATTTTTTTCTAAATTGTAGGAGTACCTTTACTGACGTAATTGTATACCTTATCCCTGCTTTAAGGCGTGACCTCTTTATCGCTTCTTTTTTGGGGAGACTCACCGGTTTGCACGCATCCGTGGAAAAATTTGCATGCGCACATGGATGCTCCTGCTTTGAATCTGTGGTATCTTGGGCATTTCCGTCATATTTTGGTGCACATTTTTGTGTACCATTTTGAAGTAGCATTTTTGTGTACCTTTTTTGTGTGCCTTTTTGTGTACCCCCTTTTGTGTACCTCTCTCGCGTACCTTTGCCACTTCCCTAGCGCGACTTACTGGGTGCGGGCGGAGACATTCTTCCCCTTGCTGGTCTGCCCATACCCCTTCTGGATCGCTGCCTCGGCGAAGCACTCGAAATAGCATACCAGATAGAAGAACAGCTATCCGGCCATATAGCACTTCTGAGAACACTCCTCAGCACACTCCACATAGCAGACCAACCCGCTGCTAACCCCTGAAAGGAACTTCCCCCTTGGTGATCCCCTGGCCCCACCTCCCAATTGCCAAATTGTTCGTACCCACGCATGGAAGGCGAAGTGACGCACAAGCGAAAGAAATCTTACCAAAATGAGCTATCCGAGAAAAACAGCCTGAACAAGAAAATCGTATTTTTTCATATGATCTACCTGACGCTGCTTTTTATGGCATGCTTTGTAGGAGGTGGGCAGCATCCCCAAGGGAGAGAAGGCCTCTATAGCGGGGTTGCGACAGGGGTACTCCCCGTCGTGCTGTATACTCTCCACCTGTGCACACATAATCGTATGTTTGGGTGCATCTTCATACGACGAATACTTTGCCAATCTCCCCCCCGTCTCATAACCTCCCCTCCCCTTCCATAACCTCCACAGGAGTGCTGCTAGGATTTTGGACCACTTCGTACACTCCCGAGATAAGTATAATTGAAGACCATGCGAATACGTTTCAATTTCGGTACATAAATAAGAAGATAATAATTGGGGCAAAATTGAACATAAAATTAAGCGTTACTAATAACACGACACTGTCGTATAGACTTTCTGCGGAGAGTGTAAAATACTTTTACTACCCGTTGGGAGCGAATCACGCCTGTCTCTTGTACAACGGAGGTACTCAGGAGTGAATTTCGGTTTATTGACCCTACAGGTGATGAGTCCACCTCCGTTATTATCTCTGTGCGAGTGGTTCGTAGTAGCATACCTATGGAGAGTTTCCTTTCCTTTTCCGTCAACTGCAGGCCTGGGGGAAAGCTCAGCTAACCAGACTCCCCTCTCGCGAAAGAGCGAAATAAGCGTGCCGCCGAACAACGACGAGAGGACCTTCCCCACCAAGTTATCCGTAAGGCGTGACAAAAAAGAAAAAAAAAAAAAAATGAAGCGGCAATGAAGCAGCATCGAAGCAACGGTGTGCGCTACGTCGTAATGTGATGTCCGTAGAGTGGCGAACGAAATAATCCGTCGCGCATCTCCACACGTTTCCTCTTCTCCTTTCAGATCAAAGTAAAATATTCAGTGCTCACCCCCTCGAGCGTTATCCACACCGTACCTTTACACCTGGGTTACGATGTGACAAATTACGACAGAGAAGAGGTACAGCCATTATATAACGATTGCAAGCGATTCAATAGGTTGTACCTTTCTGTTAGACTTGACGATCTGTACATCTCGAATGAGTTTAGGAAGGTACATAGTGAGAAAAAGTATGAATTGATATTTTCCTGTAAATGTTCTATTGATGCAAATATGGATCTCTTCTTCAATTATACACCTCGTTACAAGACTGTCATTTTGGGCAACTTAGTCAATGACCCGAGTTTACTGGGCTAATGTAACATTTCTACATCCGCCCATCACCTTTCTGCATAAATTAACCCTTTTAATATTTCTCTGATGTGTTTCATCGCTGCGCAGTTGTCATCGTCAGCATGGAGTGACTCAATGTGGTAGTTCTCTCATCCATTCATTCCACAACTCAATTTTTTTCTTTTTTTTTTTTTGTCCTTTTTCAATTTTTACTTAATAACGTCTTCCCCTTTTTGCTCATTCTTTTGTAAATTGTGTATTCTTTATTTTAAAAAGCCTCTTTCGGGTGTGTGTCCCATCCGCGGAGTGCGTTGCTCATTTTGCGTAGCGCTGCCCACTTCGCCGCGGAACCCTCTTCATTCCGCTATCTTTGCTAAACGCAGATATTTGAGCCTCTCCTCGCAGTCGAGGGTGCGTAACACGTCGTCCAGGAATAGAATGTATGGCAGGACACACCTGCAAAATATGTCCCTCTTGACCATCTCGAAGGGCCTGCAATGTGGAAAAAAGCACATCATTCGGGAGAATTGATTCGCATATTGGAGGAGGCGTATGCAGAGGGGCGCGGTAGGAAAAAAAAAAAAAAAAAAAGGCAAAAAATGAAAGGCACAAACATGAAAGGCACAAAAATCGACCCCCTCGCGAATGATCTCCAATGCCAACCTGATAATAAACAAGACACACATCACGACTGAAGTTGCTAGGGAGATATTCATCTTTAGGCCGGGGACTAAAGTACCAATCAGACTCCAATATATCACATTTATCAGGGACAGCCAAATGATGTAGAGGTACCAGAGAGACTTTAATCGATGCATGATGAGGAAGTAGAAGACTGGCGCGAAGAAAATTAGCTCCGCTAGGGAGAACATACTGCAGCTGTGGGGAGGAGCAATGATGAGAGGGGAGAGTGAATGACGGGAAAAAGAGAAGAAAAAAGAGGTGAACAGTTCAGGTAGGGAAACATGCACCATTGGCAAGGCGCAGATTTGAAGTGTGATACGGCGCAAATTGTACCCCCAGATGTATTCATCCGCGGCTGGGCCTCACCTGTACGTCCTTTGAAGCTCCGCCAGGACAGCGCCATCCAGCCTCCAGAAATTCTTCTGCACGAGAAGTATCGTCCACAGGTAGTCCAAGGTGGAAAGCGTCAGGCTGGCAAGCGGAGGGAGGGGCGACGCGCCGGTGAGTAAGCACACCCAAGGTGTCTAAAAAGAAGTCTACTCAGGTGTCTAAAAAGAAGTCTATCCACATGTCTACAGCGATGTGTACGTATATGCCTACTCCGATTTGTACACATATGTCTACCCAAATTTTTACGCATATGCCTATGCGCGAGGATGTACCCCTTGGCAGGCTTCTACCCACCGAGGGACAAGTTCACTCTGGTTACATAAAAAGGGACAGGAGGAAACAGTGCATTTTAATTTTGAAAATGTTCCTCGGGTTGACTGATCTGGTTTTGACTATGGGCCAGAAGATGAGGGCGAAAACGACGGGGGTCAGCAGAAATCTGGCGGCGAAAATGGTCGAGAAGCTGGACACGCGGAACTGCGAAGGGGCATTCGAAAGAAGGGGGGAAGAAAGGAACAAGAAAATGAAGAAATAAATAAGGAGCTAAATAAATAAAGAAGCAAAGAAATAAGTAAAGAAGTAGACACATGGTAATGGACCTACGTGCATACTCAGTTGCGCGCGTTGCTCTCTGTGGCGCTTTTTTGCCAGGGCCGCAGCGGCGGGAAGCCTCCATCACCAGGAAGCCTCCATCACCGGGAAGCCTCCATCGCCGCGAAACGTCCATCGGAACACTTACCAGGGAGTAGGAGCCGCTCAGCTGCAGGGGCGCGACTCGTACGAAAACGGAGGAAAGATGCAGAGTGAGGATGAGCAGAATGTGCGGGATGTAATTCTCCACGTGGTAAACCAAGTCAAAGGAATTGGACCAAAGTATGTAGTATCTTTCGACCTTCTGGTCTAGGAAGGCCAACAGATGGTCCCTCTTTGGTGAGATTCCCTGTCGGAAGTAACCCCCCTGAACAACAGAGTTCACTTTTTCTATATATTTTAAGAGCCATTTAATTTTGTGGATGAACACATAGAAGAGGCAGGAGAAATTTACGAAAATTATTTTTTCGTCTGAGAGCAAGCTCCAGTCATGATGATATTTTCCTGATGAGGAAAAGTTTCCTTCTGACTTTTTCTTTTTTTTTTGCGTGTCTTCATTTGGGTAATTCCCACTTGTTTGTTCTTTCCCACCGCTGTCTTGGTCTTGCCTTCGCATGTACATGTACATGTTAATGTAGTTACTTTGCGCATTGGGGGTAGTTTTCATTTTATCGTTCAGGTAAGAATTTAAGTTTATCCGCATTTGTGAATCGACCTCGTTTGTGTTTCCAGGAAGGGGAGCTCCATTAGGGTTATCCCCCCCCTGGCTGTCGTCCAGCTGTGGGTTTACGTCGTCCATATTTGGGTTTACGTCGTCCATATTTGGGTTCACATCGTCCATATTTGGGTTTACATCGTCCCGTTTTGGGCTTCCCCCATCCGCGCTGCTATGATCGCACATTTGATGCCCCATTTTTTTCTTCCTTCCGGTGAAGAAGAATTCAAAGCCATGTTCGTTCTGGTGTGCGAATTTGTTTTTCAGCCTTTTCCCCTGCACATCATTTTTAGGGTTCTTCTTATTCTGCTTCGCATCAGTGTGTGTGCCTTTAGCTTTAGTCTTTTTCGTGTTTTTCTTAAAGGCGTCAATATTGTGGTGAGGTGAGATTTCTCTAGATTGCTCAGATTTCCCCCCCGCGCGTGTTTCACATTTAGACTCAAAAAATGCTTCACCAAGTACGTCATTTTTGTTGCCACGTTTGTAACCCCTTTTTGCTCTGTTAGTATTCTCGCTGATGCTGAGCAGATTGCCAATTGGGGTTTCGATATGTAGCCTGTCTATCTTCGTATGCGGAGTTTTCGCAGAATTGCCCCTTCCCTTCTCGGGGCCTTTCCTAAACAGGGTCGAACTATTATTTGCAGAATTGTTCTTCGGACTGTTTCGTTTATTCTTTTCCTTTTTTGGGGCCTCTTTGGGTTGACATTGTAGGGGGTCCTTTTGTAGGGGGTCCTTTTTTTCGTTGCTCCTTCGTGCACTTTTTGCTCGCTTCATTGGTGGAGCTTCTTTTTTGTGTGTGTCCCTATTTTTGTTGTAACATCGAGGGGGGTGTTCTCCCCTAGAGGTTGCTGCTTGTTCAGGTTTGACTCCCTTTGCTTGTTCGGTCGCTTTCAGCACGTCTGCTTTCCCATTTTGGTTCATGTTGTCTTCCTCGGAGTGCTTCAAAGGAGCATATTCTGGTTTTCGTTCTACGTGTGGGTTGTGTCCTCTTCGATTGTTCCCTTCTTTTCCCCTTTCCGCTTCCTTACGGATGGTGATTTTTCCTTTTTTCTTCTCACCTCTTTGAGATGGCCTTTTTCCTGATTGGGGCGGATTTACCCTCGAGTGGCGGGAGTCGTCCTGGAGAGGCGTGGTCCCCCAGTGCAGCTTCACCATCTCCATTAAGAATAAGAAGTCATTCCTATTCCCATTCGAGTGAAGTTTGCCAATCTGTTTTCTCTTCCTCTCAATAGCAGAAATAATTAAGTACAACTTTTTGTGATAAAGAACCTTTAGACAGTAATAGGGAGGGTAAGTGGAAAATAACTTCTGATTTCGGAGAGTGAAAAATTTATTTGCCAATCTGGTAGCCACAATTTGTGCACTCTGGAAATCTTTTTTACTTTTGATGTGAATTTTTGGGATGTTTCTACAGAAGATGTTCCACTTTGTTTGCATGTAATTGTTTGAGTCCAGCAGCACATCGGCTAGTTTTGCAAAACAGACTTGCTGGTATTCATTTATGTAGGGAAAGATTAAAATCATGTTTCTTGGACTACGTACAGAGTTAGAAAGGGCTCTAGAGAAGTAGTACAAATAGCGGTAAAAGATCATACTAAATAAGAGGGCAGTTAATAGGAAGAGGAAAATGTAAATATCGATGGTGCTGGTGTTTATGGACACGTTTATTACTAGGATGGTTAGAATGAGAAAAGAGTCGAGGATGAATAAAGTTCTGAGGTGATACCTAGTGAAATAGAAGATGACACATATAGGGAAAAAGAGGATGTTGTTAAAACAGCCATTGAGTTCTAGAAGCAGGAATGGCAACACACAGGAGATGTACAGTAGGAGGGCGAAGATCACATCGGACAAGATACATCGGTCCAGCATTTTTTGTATAGAAAAGATAATCAAACTTATAATGAAAAGACCCCCTTGTAGATTCGTCGCTAACTCTCCTTTGCTTCTTTCTTTGGATAATCCCCCTAGGAGGAACAACGATATGTTCAGAAGGCACAGTCCGGCCGTTGTGTCCTTCGAGTCCAGCACGAACACGTGCTTAAGGTCCTCCCTGTTGACGAACGTCGTCCTTGGGGTGAGAAGGGGTGGGAGGAAATTCACACGTGGAGAGGTGATATCAGAAAAAAACTACCAAGCAATGGTATTATACCAGGGGAGTCGAGACGTATCGAACGTGCCACATGATGCCGTGTGTGTCCTGCACTTTTTGAACATTCAACATGGCGTTAGCCACACCCAGAACATTTTCCCTGGGCTTCCCCGTTTTATTTTTAAATAGGAAGTCAATTCCCCCCTTTGCGCCGCAATGCTGCGCTGCTACACCACTATGCGCCTTGTTCCCTCAGTTGATACCTCGTCTTAATGTCCCTCTCGACCCGGAAGGACATCCGCTTGCTACTTGATAGGTAGGAGTAATGCTCCTTCGTGAAGTATTTCAGCATTTTCGAAAAAGGGAAAAAAAGACCAAATGGTAGAAGCAAGCAGGGGGAGATATATCACAGTTGGACGAGTCATACAACACACGTTGTTATCATAGAAAAGGGGATTTATCTCATCCAGGATGGAACCATTCCCAGTGTACTAAGTTTGCTTCCTAGCGTGCTACAGCTTATACGTTGGTAGTGGTATTTTTTTTCGTTCAAAAAGGTGATCACTTCGCGTTTTCGGAAAATGGCAAAAGGGGGAAATATACACTGGGAGTTGCCTACCCATGTGCACACGCGAATCTTAGGTAGTGACTTAAGATTTTCGAATGGTTGACGGTTGACTTTGTTTTTCTTTTTTGCAAAATTGTACGTCTGCTAACAACACTACCGTATGGTGCAGTGTCGCTAAAACTTATGACATGACCACAAAATTAATTTATGTGCGGATTTGGACATGAGGGGTGCATATGTGCCCCCGGCGGTAGGCCATCATATGGGCATTTATTTTTCCATTTTGCATTTTCCATTTCCATGGTGGGACAATGCCCAATGTGTACAAGCATTTGAAGCGCGGCTACACTTGGCACACACGGGGGGGAGTTGCCATTTTGAAAAACTGCAGTATATCCTTTTCTCAGTGCCAGTTGTGGAGAACAGTACCAGAGGTGCGCAATGGTTGCGATAAGGGTTAATATGAAAGGGGTACACGCGGATGTGCACACTGAAACTTAAGAACATCAGAAGAGTAAACTCAGTTGACCACTACCCCTTTGGTGCGCACACATCAGAAGAAGAACTACAGATAAATGGCAAAGGTCTTCTCAGAAAAGTGCTACTTTGGAGCGCAAAAAAAAAAAAAAAAAAAGGATTAACCGTTCATATTATTTCGCAAAGTGGTTAGAAAAGAAAAAATAGCCATTTTGTGTGCAAAGGTGCATTGCCAGCGCGGGCATACTCAGGGTATGTGAACAAATGGGCGAGGCGGGAAAATGGGTTTCAGATAAGTTTGCCGTTTATTTTACTTAAACGCGTTTGAGTCGTGCCTGTTACATGCGTGTGACATGCTTGCTATATGCTTCCTATATTGTTGTGGTATATGATGCCCAGTTTGGCGTTGGTCAGCTCGGGTGGCCACATGGTACAAGGGGCAGGAATAAGATGACATGCGGGAGACTTCCCTTTTGCGAAGTGGACTGTATTTTCTGTTAAGAGAAGGCTCCTTTCAAACCTGTCGGCGGTACCTTTTGAGCGCTCCCTAATATACCATCATATTGGGAAATTTCCCCAAGGCCATGTATATACATATACCAACGGGAGAGAAACTGCGAAAAAGTTGCCTTTTTGTGCCGTACCGAACAAGTTTAAAAAAAAAAAACAAAGAAAACCCCTGCACACGATAAAAAACAAATTGATTAACCTTATGAGTCAATATTCTATTTTACCACTTAGCCCGAGCCCAAAATACTTTTGTGCCGTTCAGATGGAACGCGATGCGTGTACATATGTGTACAGAAAAAAAAAAAAATTATGAGCGAATTTACCTAAAATTAAACAAAACTGCGTAATGGTCAATTGGGAAAATTCCCCACTACGCTTTCCCCCGTTTGGAAAAATTGCCACAGTTCTGTGAATGGCTGTTTTGCCATTTACCAGAAGCACGAACGTGGGAAATACGAAGTGTGAACGTATGAACGAATGAACGTGTGAATGCTTCACTTTGAGCATTTCGTGCACGAAAAGGAAAAAATTTACCTTTATTTTTGGCTGTACCACTGCGAAACGCGCAAAAACGTGCTTTTTTCGATGGATTGGGGATTCATCGTGCGCGTAAAGTGATCGATCAAGAGGGAGAGATGTTATGCGCATAGGCATCATTTATGTAGCGTATGCCGCCTATGCGTGCACGAGGTTGTTTGGATTCTCTGCATTTATATGCCTACAATGTGCATAGCCATTACGCAGCGCGCAAGTGCATGCGGTAAAATTTGCCTTCGAAAAAATCCGCTTTGTCGAATATTAATTTTTTAACCTCTTTAGCCATTCGTTAGCAGGGCGCAAATGCGTTGAAAATTTTTAAAATAGCAGGAGGGAAAGAAGGAAAAAACGAAAGCGACAAAAAGGGAGAAAAGAAAAGTAAAAGAATGTTCCAAATAGCAGAAAAGTGCCAAAAAGGAAGATATGCAAAATTGCGAAATTCCGCGCTTTTCACCCAAACTTTCTTTTTCTTCTCTCCGCAAAAAGAAACATGTCGACCGTTGACGAGTTGAAGTTCATTTGGAATTTTTTATTTTCCGATATAACATCAGAAAAAAAAGGAGAAGAAATAGAAGAAGAGAAAAAATACGAAGAGAACATCATTTTGTTGAAAAAATTAATGAGAACGGAAAACATAAAGTTCGAACAAAAATATAACGCTTCCAACATTTTGGAAAAATTAAAAGAGGTGAAGGATGTTAAGTATGAAGATATTTTAAATCAATATGGAAACAATTTTTTAAATTTTTTAAAGCAATCTTTTGAAAATGTAGCAGAAGAAATTCAAATAAATGACAAAATCAAGTACAGGAGGAATGAGCTAATAAAACAGGATTTAAATAATAAGCTACAAAGTGTCAATGCAAACTACAATTTGGAGTACATTAATCTGAACAAATGCTTAGGAACGGAAGATTTTGAAAATCAGCTCAATGTAAGCTTAAAATTTAACTCCCTCAAGGATATTTTAAGCAAATTGTTAATAGAAATGAAGGAGCACGAAAATCAGTATAACAATTTAACAGAAATGGATAAATTTTTGGACGTCAAAATTTATGAACTTGAAAATTATTTGAGCAAGGCCGGGGAAGACAATTCTTGAAAAAAAGCGGTGGAGAGAAGAATGGGCCAGCATAGCAGTGCTGACGGAGCACCTTCACAGCACGGGAGAAATAAAAAATACATTGTATACTTGTATAATAGCAGTATGGGAATATTGTACAGATTTGAGCGACCAGTCGGGCGGAGTTATTTCTGTTTATTTACCTTTTCCGGTGAAATCAGGCCACATTGTGCCCCAGTGCACACGAAATGGAGGAAGGATCGTTAAAAAGGAAAATTTGTAATCCGATATATAGCGCATATATTGAGGTTATGGAATGGATCATATAGAAAAATTTCTTTTCCTTTAAATTTGTTTTATTTATTATGTAGAATAAAAGGATTTATTTTGAGGAAGCAGAATTTTTCTTTCTTTTTTTTTTTTGTTTTTTTTGCCTTCCATCAGATTTATCTTACCATTAGCATTATTTTTGGGAAAATTCACCTGGAGTTGCTGGAAAGTAATTTGATATGTTATTCTGTTTCTTTGTACCATTCCCGTCATTGGGTTATGGTGCTGCTGTGATGCTGTTACGATGCCGTTACGATGCTGTTATATTGCCATTATAATACCATTATTTCTTCTTTTTTTTATGCTTATTGAAGAGCTACGTAATATTTAAAGCCAGTGGGGCGCCAATAATAAATCAGCAAAACAGACTTCTACAACTTTTTTATGTGGAAATTTGTTTGGTTTTTTTTTTTTTGTAAAATTATAACATTTTCGAAAAGTTAAAAAGGAACGAAAATGGTTATCATAAGGAAACAGTCTTTTTTTTTTTTTTTTATTAACAATTTGGGATTTGTAAAAGGACCAAAATAAGCAAATAGATTGGAGGCCTACAAATGATATTTTGTTGAGAAAAACGATTTCAGTCTATATACATATGCACACAAGACAAGGAAGCGTTTGTACGTGAGTACGTGCAGACATCTGTGCGTTCCAGACGTGGGTACACTTCCCCGTGAAACGCATTAAAATATGATTGCACATTTATGCAAATTGGAAAATGTCAAAACGTTCAAAGAGGGATTAAAAAGCAGTAGCAAAATGGGATTATTTGGTGATCGTTCATGTGACATTATATATATGTGTATATACTTATATGTAGTACACTTTTATGAGGAATAGTTTGTGGCTACACTATTTTATCGTACCTATTTTAAACATATTGTTTGCTTCAAAAATGTAAAGGAAAGAAATTTATCGGGATGTCTAACAAAGCATAGATTATACGAATATACGAATATGTGGCGCATTGCGCGTTTCGGAAAAGATGCAACTCGAAAAATGTAGTGACACTATTTTTTACGATCTGGTAAGTGGAAAAGTAAAGAAAAAACATACAGAACAAACGTAAAGGGAAGGATAACTGGCATTTTGTTTTATGAAGCTGTGGAGAAGTGTACGCCTGTTTGTAGTT